ACACTAAAAGATGTCTTAGTATATGTTATTACAAGAAAAATATTTGAAATATACTTTTTTATAAATATTTTTCCTTTAAAAGCATTTTCTACTTATGGTATACTTCTTGCTATTTGGATAACTCACGCTAGATTGACCTCACCCCTCCCTCTTCGCCTTTCTTTGATCTTTTTTTTTTTCAATTTGAACAAGTACAATTTTTTTTTAATTTTCTTGCTCTGAGGAGTTCTTTAACTATCCCATAAAGATGCCTATAATATCCTATATCATAATCATGGTCCTTATGTAAAGATCAATTTTTTGTTGGATCTCACTTATATGGCTTAGTATATAATAGAGGCAATCAACGAAAAACTCTTTATCTTTAATAATGTTCACTACCAAATGCAATTGTTTGTTGACATTTCCTCTTTTATACTCACTCGAACATCATCCATGAAATGGCGTCTGCGAGCTCGAACCGTTAAATTGAGTCGCTTGCGGAGCTCATTTTCAGTAGCACGAGTCGAGCTTGAGCTCGCCTTTTTAGCTCTACTCTAGTTCGAGCTTGAGATTTGGCTCACAAGTCGAGCTTGAGTTAAGTTTGACTCGAGCTCTACTCAACTCGTTTGTACCCACTAGTCAAAGTCAATGGTTTTGCTTTGGTAGTTCACCTTTATATGAGAAAGTCAAATGAATCTTTTGGCATTTTAAATGTTAGAGTAGTTATAATAATCAAACATCTTCCACGAACTGGCATATGCCCGTTTGAACTATGAAATCGAGCCACTTGATGAGCTTATTTTCAATGGTAAAAGTCGAGCTAGAGCTCGACTTTTTAGCTCGACTCGAGTTCGAGCTCTAGATTTGACTCACAAGTCGAGCTTGAATTAGGTTTGACTTGAGCTCGACTCAACTCATTTGCAGCCCCAAAGTCAAAGTCAATTCTCTTGCTTTTGCTGATCACTTTTATATGAGAAAGCCAAATGAATCTTTTGGCATTTTAAATGTTAGAGTAGTTATAATTACTCACTATACTTACTCACTCCAATACTCTTATTATTTTCATAATCCTTCCATTTTTATAAGTTGTCTATTTATCATATAATATTGCCTATCCATGTTCCTTGGGGCTTCTCTATTTTATTGTTGTGTTTCTCCTAGTGCTTAGCTTCTGGTTCTTAGTATAACTCCATGCTCATTACATCTTTAAGAATGTTGAATCTATATTTAATTGTGAATAAAATAACCTAACAAACAACACTCATACCACACACATAATAAAAAATTGATAGATAAATAGAAAGAAAAAGAATTTAGAAGGAGAGGCTATGGGATTTCATTAGATTATCAGAAGGACAAAAGTTAAGTATAAGTGACTTGACCTCTTAAGCTTCGTTTGGAACGGCTTTTTGGCTGCTTCTTAAAGCAACTTTTTATTTCAATAATTAAAAATTTTGTACTAGAAAGCTGCTTTAATAAGCAACAATAAAGCTGTCCCAAACGAAGCCTTAGACTCGCCACCTAACTCATTGTTTATAGATTTAGGCCAAGGTTTGAGCCTCATAAGAGAAATCATTTTTAATCTATATATAAAAAGGAGAAATTATGTACGTAAGAGTACATATGATATAAAGCCGAAATTCATAGGAGTTCAATTGATAATTGATCAAGGCTATTACTTGATGAAATTGAAAACTTGATAGACGAAGTTGTCAATTAACTTGATGAAACTACCGAATTGGCTTATGAAATCGCCGACTTGTAGAATAAATTGCGGAAGAGTGTCTTTCAAACTTAGGACAAGTATGCTTGGTTAAGCCTTAAACTAAGTATGCTTTGTCAAGTTCATCATTGCCATAGCGAGTTCAGTCGCTTTGTCCTTATTTTGTTGAAGTATAATGCTTTGATGAGATTTACTATTGTGATATTTTGTAAATAAATAAATATATAAGGAGTTAGATATGTAAATACATGAGAATTGAATGATATATATAAACATTAAACTCCTTGATATATATATCATCACAAAATTATCTTGATCAGACACGAATCTCAAGAAAAAATCAAATTGAAAACTTAAAAAAAATTAAATTGGAGACCATCTAAACTTCGATTTCAATAAACTTACAGTTGAACTGAATGTCTCAGAAATACAAATCCAACGACACCAAACTCAACTCAACTCGAGCCCAAATGAGTCTAAATTAAAGACCCAAAGCACATTTGGTGGGTTCAAACTATAATTTGGATTACCAAATGTGACATGTTTATAGTCGAATCGAGTGGCTCGACGAGACAAATCCAACGAGCCAAGATCGTCAAAATTTGATATCATTAGAGCCTTCAAATACCCAGTAAACGGTCTACGATCAAGGGATTCCACATCAACCGTCCATTCAAACCACTCTCAATTTACCCTTGATCTCCCTTCTATTTACTAGTCATGTCACTCTCAGAAAACTATGAATAGACCCCTCATTTCTCGTGAGAGGGGATCCCAAGCAAGAAGAGAAGAGAAGAAAACAAGGAAGCAAGAAAAGAAGAGAATGAAGCAAGGAAGTAAGAAGAGATGGAAGAGAAGGAAGAAAAGGAATAAAAGGGAGAGACTCCTCCTCGACTACCGCCAGGCTTCCACCTAGCAGCCGACCGACACCGGAGTTCTGCTCGATTGCCAAATGATGTAGGAATTCTGCCCTACTGTCAAGTGATGTCGGAGTTCTGTCTAACAGCCAACTAACGCCGAATTTCTGCCCGAACGTCAATTAACGCCGGATTTTCGATCTTCATTAGTAACTGAATTTCAAACAAGTAGTTATTTATTATAATATGATCGTCTCCAATTTCAGGGACAAGTCAGTCACTTGTAATATAAGCAAACACTAGTGGAATCATTTCAACTTGACATGACCTCGTAATTTTTCGCTTTTGTAGGGATTCTATGTAAAAATTCCGGTGTTACATTTTTTCTTCTATTTGTGTGTTGGATATTCGTACAACACCGAGACGAAAATTTTCTAACTCTATCATCGCGTTTATTCTAACCAGCAACTCTCCTCAATAATAATAATAATAATAATATTATTTTATTATTATTAATACAGAACCATGAAATAAAGTTAAAAAATATTTAACGTTATTCATAATACAATATAAAACAAAAATTATATAAAAGCTATATATATAAACGACAAGAATTACATTGGCCCTCTATTTTCTTTAGAAAAAAAAAATATCGATGACTATGATAATAAGGATAAGATTAGGTGGATGAGCACCATCTTCCTATAAAAAAATATTCGCACGAAAGGCTCACTCGCAAAGGGCAAATCTAATATATAACAACTGAAAAAATACATCAAATAAAGACAGTAAGGAAGCTTGGAAACTCGAAGAGGGCTAAAGAACAATATTCCTGAAGGGTTGAGTGCGAACAAGGAGCATTTTTTAATAGAGTATTATTTTTTTTAGTCTTAGGTTTTGTTTGGAACGATTTTATTAATGCTTCTTAAAACAGTTTTTTAGTACAAAAATGTATTATAAAATTGCTTTAAAAAGCACTAAAAAAAATGTCACAAACAAAACCTTATTAATTACCTTCACTTTGTTACATGAAATCTCCCTTTTGAAAAGAATTGGACTCCAATAAGATTTTTTTCGCCGTTTGGTTTCATTTTTAACCTTTTTAATAATAGTTGATAATTTTTTTTTTACTTTGGATCCTCTGATATTAAATTTGTGCTCAAATACTTAACATTAAGAATATACGCTATTATCATTTGTTTGTGCTTTTGATGCGTTTGACTTAAAGTTCCACTGATAATATTTTTAATGTTATTTAAAACATTGAAGGGTTGTTTGGCTGCCAGTAGGATTTAATTTAAATAGAATTTAGTGAATTATGTACTACTAAATTTACTGAATCCTATTTGGGCTAAATTCTAAAAACTATTTTGTTACTTTTATTAGAAGGGATTTATATTGCAAATTAAATAATATTTATCCTAATTAAATAATACAACTAATAGGTAATCAGTGGTTTAATAAGTTAATAAAATAAAACATTTTTTAGATAATTAAATTAGAAATAAATATAATAATCAATTAAGATAATAAGTTATTAAATAATTAGTATTAATTATTAACATTAAATCAATTACTTGATTGACAATTAACACATACTATTATATATAATAATAATAATAATAATAATAATAATAATAATAATAATTTGATCAGAATTTTTAATTAATAAAGCTTCCATCATATATTCTCTCATAGGTTAGTTTATAACTACTTGGAGATTAATATTTACATTACTCATTAATTACTAGTTTATAAATTAATTAATAACAATTTGCTGAATCAATTAGCACAAAAATATGTAATTTATTTAATTAATTAATATAATTGTTATATTAAATATATATTTTATTCAAAGAAATTACATATTAAATGATTTAATTTTTAAATTAATATTTTTCTAATTTATTTATCATAAATTATAAAAATGAATTTACTTGTGTAATTCAATAGAATTTTTTAAATTAATACTAATTAATATTAATAATCTATAAATATTAAAATCAATAATAATAATAAAACAAGTTTTTTAATATTTATGTCAATTAAATAAAATTCACACAGAGAGCCACATATGTAAAATTTATATCAAGATTTTTTTATTGATAGTCAAAGCTTCAACCAATAGATGAAAGCCAAACATGTATAATAAATTGTGTTAAATATATAAAAAAATATGAAAGATAATAAAAGTCAACAGACTTACAGTCAAGGCAAGGATTTACTAAATTCGTAATTTAAGGTATAGAAGTGAGAAAAGGGTTTAAATTTGTTATTTTGTAGTTTGGCAGAATTTATGTTAAAATTTGCTTAAATATCCTCAAATTATGGTACTAAATAGCCCCTAAGTATTGTATAAATAAATGAGAATTTTTAGATATTTAATATAATAATATATAAAAATATATTAAAGAATGCAATCTCATCTCTATGTCATAAACAGAATGAAATGCAGACAGCAACTGTGAGCCAATCCATGCCTGATATCCCAAGCCGGAGATCTTACGGAAGGAAGGAACTAAGCCTATTCCATGGACTCCCGCCGGCTACCACGCACCGCCGTCGATCCCAAGGTACGCCGGGTCGGATTCTTCACGTCAGGCGAACCTCTGCCTGCAAGATCCCAGTCCTTCCCAGCTGAAACTGGCGGCTCGACTACCGCTGACGGCGGTATGATGTCCTCCACGACTACGCCCGACCTTTCTGTCGGCGTAATATCCTTCTCCCCCGTTATGATCCCGCCCCCTCGTTACGCCTCCGCCGACGGTCTCCCAGCCCTCGGCCGCGCCGCAGCAACCGTGACCACTGTATCCGCTTACAGCCCCTTGTCGCCCCTTCGGCGGGATGCTATCCAGCTGCCGGTCGGGAGCTTCAACCCGTCGGAGTACATGCAGGGCACGTCGGCGATGCTATCACCGTCGAGCAGCCGGTTCGATGACTTGGACTTCTCGGAGGAAGTTGCTTGCTACGGAAAGAAGTGGCCCGGAAAGGAAGTGGCGTCGTTCCCTGGGAGCAGCGATGAGATGATGATGGCTGTTAGGGGTGGGGGGAATGCTCTGTCCATGAGCGCGCTGACGACCGCCTCCGTGGTGAAAACACTTCCGGGAGTCACTGGTATGTAACGAGATTCATGCTACTTTGCTGGTGAGGAATAGAGCTTCAAGTTGTGCGTTGGAAACAGTGTTGTTAGGTGAGGATTAAAAGCTTTGTTGCATTAATGAAAACTTGGAATTCTTTTATTTACATGTGTTTTTTTCAGCGTGACTGTCGATTATGCCTTATTGATTCCTTAATTAAGGATTTAAGGTCATTTGGAAACATTCGGGCTTTAAATTTAGTGGTATCATTTGACGGCAAAACCACTTGGTTAGAGAGCCCTGATCATAACCGTTTATCTATGATGCCATTTGGCGGCGAAATCACCGGTTATAAGACACGTGTCACATCATTACTAGCAGGAGATTGTTTGAGAATGATTCTTAGTGATATTCTTGATTATAACTAAGATTCATGGTGCCAAATGTTGACCATCAAAAGAGAATCATAATACTAAGTTAAAGTGTGGCAGAGATGAGGATGCTCAGGTGGATGAGTTGCTTTACCCTTAGAGAAAGGATACAAAATGAGCATATACATGAAAAGGTTGGAGTAGCTCCAGTAGAAGATAAGATTAGAGAGAGTCGCCTTAGATGGTTTGCTCACATAAAATGGTGGCCTTCCGATGACCCGGTTAGAAAAATAGAGGTATTAGATATGACTTATGTTAAGAAAAGTAGAGACAGGCCTAAAAAGACTTGGTTAGAAAATATTAGAAATGACATTTCTTTATTAGATTTAAATGAGAATTTGACTTTTAATATGACACAATGGAGAAAAAAGATTCATGTAGCCGACCCCATGTAGTGGGATAAAGGCTTGATGTTGTTGTATTCTTGATTAGACATTCGCTCTTTGTGAGTTGAAGTTATTTCCAAATATATCCGTCTTGAGAAACTATTGCAGAGGGTGGATGAATTTTCGTTTTAAGTTTTAAGTGATTAATTTTAATTTTAAATATTAATATTTTGATAAATATTAAGCTTTGAAGTTTGGTAGATTTTTAAGAGTTGACTCCTCCGGTTCAAATTTATATTCAGCATGGCCATCATTGGGGTGAAATTAAAATCATGTCAAAACATTTGTATTTTATTAAAGTTTCGAGACATTTGAAAGAGTAGAGTCCCATTCAGTTGAGATTAGCTTTCAATATGATCATCATTAGGTATAAAATATTTAATATCTTTAATTATCTGAACCTCGTCGATTTTTTTCGCCTGCTAACAGAGGATCAGGTTCGATTATCAATTATTATGTGAACACTAAAATTGAATCTTATATTTTATGATAAGTTTTATTTAAAGAGCCTTTGAAGGCCTAATATGAACTTAATATTAAATATCTTGATATATTTATGATTATACTTTCGCTTGTTAATTCAAGTTATGACTACTCCAATCCTTTGAAGGAGGATGAAACTTGAAAATTTAACCCACACAACATTTTCAGACCTTAAGATTGGGAGTTCAATGTAGCAGTCGGAGCATATGCTGGTATTTAGTTTTAAAATAGGATTTAACATCAGCGAGTTTTTAATCCCCGCGCAGCATTCTCAGACATCTATATTTGCAGATTGACACGTTCGTCGGAGCACATGCGGGAAGTCATATTTTAATGCATGAGGGGGCATTTTAAAGTTTTTATATATGATTATTTATGCATTTGGTTATCGCTAAAGTTTGCACAAAATTTCATTTGAAGTTTGAGAAATGCCTTATGTTCTCTTGTACGAGTGTTATAGATCCGGTGGCATGTGTTGAAATAAATTTTGATTGTTGTGTGCAGGAAGAGTATTGCCTAGTTTATTTTGCTTCCTCCAAGTTACCATATCCTTCAACTTAGCTTGTAGAAGTGTGCTTTTGCCTGCAAGTTAGTTGTATTGTTTGTCACGAATCTTTCATTTTCACTTATAAGCAAGCTAATTCATTTGATATGATAACTTGCACTATGAATTCCTTGTTTCTACTCACAGGTGTATTGTAGTGTTCGTGCTACAGGTTATTGTGTTAATTGCAACTTCCTTAGACATGTTGATAGGAAAACTATCACCATCATTGCATATCAACTGTCATTGTTTGCAGGGGGTTTTAATGTGTTGTTTGCATATTGATTGATATGAAGTTATGAACTGTTGATAGATTGTATTCATTTCAAGCCCACTGTTCTTTAGCAACTTAGCACATTCATCGGAAGCCCCTTAGCAAGTTAACACATTCATTAGGAGACCCCCTCCGTTTTATTAATGCCCGCAAGATCTTTGCTCATACTTGTGGGTTGATTGATATGAACATTATGAGTTTTATATTCTTCATGTGTAAATTATGGCATTCATTAGAGGTTTCATTCTATTATTTGTAAGCAAATTGTTATATTTCCCCCAATTCTATAGTTCACTGCTTGTAGGAGAGTCATGTTGAAATTTTTTGTCCACCACTCATCCCTTGCTTGTTCATTTATGTTCATTTAAGTGACCATAATTATTATTTAGCATTTATATTTTATATTGATATGTGCATTTAACTTTCCACTTTGTTGCATTATTAATTTAAAGTTTTCAGTAATTTGTTTAAGTTTAGTTCTCTGTAAGTCAAATCAGTTTGAATTCTGGCAGCCTCCCGGTGTCTTCCCCATTTAGGATAATTTTGGGGAGTCTAGGCTTGCTCACTATGTCAAGAAAGGCGTGCATAGGTTACAAGGGTACCTACATGAAAAACTTACAAATTTTTCCATCGGTGTCAAAGCGCACACGGGTACTTAATTTTTTTACCTCACCGTGCTAAGAAAAGCTGCACGAGGCTTACCTGTCTCGTCGCAAGTATCACACTGAGCTCCCTCCCACCGTGCTAAGGAAAGCGCGCATTGGGGGGTCTACTCGTTGCACCGCAAGGGTCGAAAACAGGATTTGGGGATTGTTTTTTATGTTAGTGAGTATTACACCTTGCACGAGCGAGGTGGCGATGACGATGTCAGGGGCACGAGGGATCTAAACACACAAGCTTCTTCCTCACACACTTTTTTTCTTTAATTTGTTTTTTCTATTTTTTTATAGTAAATAATAATAATAATGAAAAGAAAAGAATAAAGCTCTTTATTAGGGGAAAACTAGAGGGAGAGAGTTACTCTCTCTTTGTTAGTGAGAATGAAGGGGCTGTTGGAGGGGTGATTGGATCATTAGGTTGATGGCTTGGAGTTTGAGGGTTGTATTGGGGATATCAACTTAATGTAAGTGGTTGAGCGAGAGAATGACAAGGAAATTTAGGAGTTGTAGTTGCTGTGGATTGCTTGTGAGGTGGACTGTAGGGAGGTCAGGCCGATTGAGTGGGACTGTGTTAGCGTTCGGCTAAGTGTAGGTGGGAGCAACAGGAGGAGTGGAGATTGTAGGGAAGATAGATTAAGTTTGGGTTTGCGAATAGGGGGCTGAGAAGAAGTTGGTTATGGGAGGATAAGGCTAGTGTGAGAAGAAAGAGGAGCTGCAGTGATGGAAGAGCTGGGAGAGACTACTATGGTCAGGGGCTCAGGGCTTGAGTAGGAGTTGTGAGGCTGGGGATTCAAGTACAAGGAGTTCGACACAACAGGGTCATGCGGCTAGGTGCAGAAGGGAATGAAATTGGGCACATAGCAGGTTCGTGTGTGAACAACAGGGATGGGGTCAGTTGGGAGGCTGCTGCTCCTGTCTGGTGCGAATAGATTCGAAGAGTTGGATTTCACATGAGAGGGGAGAGGAGGAACGACAGGTCATGCACACCAGAGTGCGTGAAAGAGTTTAGCCGGTCTGTTGGATTGCACAAGTAGAGAGGCTTGACATGGGGTTGAGCTCTATCGTGCATCGGAGTCGTGCAAACATAAGTGGGTGTGGTCCGGATTTGCTGTTGGGTTCTATTGGTAAAGTCAAGGAGAGCGGCTGCTGGGTGTGGAATACAAAGAATGAGAGTCAGAGGGAGATGGGAGAGCTTGAATGAGGGAAATGATCCGGTTGTGTGCGTGAAATGGAGAGGAATTGTGCATGCGAGGATGGGCGACTGAATTTGACGTCGAACTGTCGAACTGCAGGGATTTGAGCAACCACATTACGGGGATTTGAGCGGGATTTCGAGCAGGATAGCAAGGATAGGATATATTAAAGTATAAAATTTTATTTTATTTAATTTTAAAGTATAAATTTAATTAGAGTGATAAAAAAGGGTAAATTGACCCCCAAGATTTTCTTGTATTTCATATGCCTTGATTTGTGCATCATCATCTCAAAATCCATGCTGATTTTGCATTTATGCTCATGCAAACATCTAGGCAATATTCCAGTCATTTTTGGGTATTTTCTACACTCCGAATTAATGACAAAGTCTGTTTTGCAAACGGATGAAGTTTGGGTAATGTCACGCATTGTGGCGTGTGTTAATAGTCTATTTTGATAATGTTTATCAATTCAATTATGAGGGGCCCCTGCTTGGGTAAATTTGATGCTCCGATCGCATTGACGCGGTTCGTTTGACAATCAGAGGTCATTTGGGTAGTTTTTGATAGCGTCGCGCTTGCCAACAAATTACATTCTTCATTTCGGATTGATTTACACATGAATGACTCTTCTTTGGCAAATTTAGTGTCCTGAGCGCATCAGTGTGATATCTTTCACGATCGGATAATATTTTGAGCCATTTTTGATAGCGATCGAGGTGTCCCGATGCTCGTGATAAGCGATACATATGATAGTCGCTTTTCTCGATGCACTCGATTGATTGTGGAATATGTTTAGAGGTCAACACATAGTTGTTGACTAATGCATATGTGAGCTCTTTCACCTTGAAATTCTTCTTTAGCCTTCTCTAGTTTCCCCTAAAGATTTCTGTAGCACCCGTCTCCCATAATTTTGTAGTGGCATTTTGAATTCCTTTAAAGATTTCGCTTTAAATGTTGGACATTCAAGGAAGGGAGTTCTAACCTTAAATAGCTGGAACAGCGAAGTTGTTGCTCATTATGTAAAAACCAATGGAATATCATCTTTGATGAAACATAAGCTCAAAATGCATGCTTAGTTTATTTATTAATGCCAGTGAGTGATTTTTTGTATGCGTTAGAGGCATTAGGCACATAATCTTCATAAGCAGATATACTTTTTTCTTGCTTGAAATTTTACTGCATGGATTTAAGTGGTCATGGCTCTCTTGCTGCATTAATCAACATCTTCAAGCATCTTCAAGCATCTTCAAGCGTCCTGCATATGTTTATGATAAAAATGAATTTCAAGCCTCATGCAAATCTAAAACAAAACATGAAACAAATAGCTTATTGCACACTATGCTGCCTCTTAATGTGCTACTTTGTTTGATATAATGCACGGGAGGCTGAATATGTCCAAAACATAAATGTATCTATATCCTTTAAAAACCAAACACTTTCATGCTCATGGATGCATGGGGATGATTGAGGAAGTTGTCCGCCACTTATACACTAAGAATTTTCATGTTGAACTTTCTTTTTGGGATTGGAGTTGATTGAAGGCCGTTCAAGTGTATATGCTGATTTATTACTGGTTTAATAAAGCCCTTCTTGCTTTCCTTTTTCCATTGAAAACATTATTTTGAAGGTTTGTTCTATTTAGAAATTTTTTTTCATTCTAATTATCATCATCATTAGCTTAATCCAATTATATTGAGTTGGTTAATCCCATTGTCTATTCATTTCAGTTGAACAACTGACGTGGTGTTTAATGTATTCAGATATAGTATTTTTGCACAACTTCAAACCATGGAGCCTCTAATTTATCATTCTTTACTAATCTCCCCACATCAATTCTATCTATTTGTTTTATTACTACATTTTCTACCATTCTTTGTGCATGCTCAAACCACCTAATTTATTTTTACTATTTTATCATCAATATATACGATTCCCACCATCTCTTTAATATAATCATTTCTCCATCTATCATTCATAATCTTAAATAACCATCTTACTATTCTTTTTTTTTCCACAGGCAGTTGGCTGTAAGGGCTTATTTATTTCCAAGACATGGATCCATATAATATAATCGATCTTATTACATTTTATTATTATTATTTAATTATCTTTGATTTTCTCATGGCAGATAGTACCTGATGTGAAACATATCCATGCGAAAGTGATTTGCTTAAAGAAATTTGCACGCTTAGATTTAGAGGTAATAATAAGCAAGATCTTATGCGGAATTGAACGATAAGATAAATATTAAGTGGTACTCAGCTTAGGTTAATTCACATGAATAGAAGTTGAGTTAAAAAAGATAGCCTGATTAATCCAACATTGCATACATGGATAGTTCCAACAATAGATTCCAATACTTACAATAAGATTAGTCTATGAAAGGTCCCTCACACAACTCTTCTAAATACTAGGCTTTAGCGGAGAAGCATTAATACGACCTTCATGAAGATAATAAATTCACATTCAAGGATGCAACTATGAAGATAGAGAGTCGGGTGTCGAATTTACCCAAAGACAAGAGAGATACGCGCTCCGGCAAAGCTATTTGTAGTTGGGAATGAAGTGGGAAGCAACCCCGAACCTCCTCGCACTAAGGAACACCCGGGAAGTGGTGCAGAAATTCAGGACAGCAGCCACGTGGTCTCCCGGGATAACTTTGTTGCTGATTTGGGCATTCTTGGACAGAGGACAGCAATCTGGAACTTTCCCAAGCAGTGGACAGCAGGTGGAAATGCCAGAAAATCTGTAAAAGCTTTAAGGATTCTTCTAGACAGCAACATAACTCCAGGAGGTTCTATGTTCAGCAGTCACGGGAAGGGTTTGGAAGAGTAACCCGTGGAGGAAGAAGGGGGATTGATTTCAAATCTGAAACAATGTCAGCTTGCTGACGTTGGAAGAGGGACTTAGTTGGAGAAAACAAATGAAGTCTAGAAGGGAGCTCGGGTAGGAGAGAAAAGCTTCAGGAGAAATACAATTTCAGATTTCTAAAATTGAGCTCTAGTGAGGAGACGTGGAGAGGGGAAACTAATTTGAAAATCAAATTAATTTCCAAAGGAAAGTTGGGTGGCGGTTTAGTGAGGAATTAGGGGAATTGATGGGAGGCAATTAATGTAATTGGAGAGAGACTTAATGGGTAATGGTGGCCGGCCATAGAGCAAGGAGAGAGAGGCTTGGAATTTAAAAGGTGGGGCCCACGTTTGAGTAATTAATTCCCAATCAAATCTGAAATTATAATTTCAGATTTGATTATTTCTTAAGTAACTCTCAAAATTGATTTATTAAGAGGGAATAGAATTTGAATTTCAAAAGGAGCATTAATCCCCTTAAATGTCTATCATAAATAGATGAAGACAAATTAGAAAATTGAATTAAATATGGATTTGAAATTCAAACAGACTTGGGTCCAAGGAGGGGAGCCGGCGGCAAGGTAGGTGCTGGGCGGTGGGCTAGGGGCCACGGGTGGTTGCTGGGGGAGGGGAGTGAGGGTCGGCTGAGGGACTAATAGCGGGAGGGAGCAATTGGCCGGCGGCCAATTTTCTGGCCGGACCAACAGAGCCGGTGGCAAGGAGGAAATGGGGAGGGGATTCCAGAGCCTGGAAGCAGGATGAAAATTGTGGAGAAAATTCGGAATTTTCTAACCTCACGCATCTCTTCTTCGATATCTCAAAGGGAGATTGTAAAAATGCCAGAACTCACACAGAGATCCACGAAATTCCCCTCAAGAACTCACGAAGAGAACTAAGGAAATGGAGAGAAGAAGAAAAATTATTGGGTAGAAAACCAAGAGATCCACCAAGGGGCTGTTGGGTATTGCTTTGAGCCTCTCATAGGCTTTCCTCACTTGAGAACTCACAAAGAGATCTAAAACCAAAATTTTCATTAACAATAATCATCATCCCTTTCCAAGAGGAAGAGGAGGGCTTAAATAGCCAAATACATGAAGGAAAATAAAAAAGACACAATTGTCCCTAGAACAAACATAAAACAAAGCCCTCAAGTGAGGGTAGAAATGGAAAAGTACAAATAACAAATAAAATACATGAAAATAAATAGACATGATCGTAGTCGTTGATCTTCGATGTCCTTATCAGTACCGTTGAGTTTTTTTTTTTGGGGACATTTAGGCCACTTAAGGCAAACTCACACACACAACGCATACACAAAGACTCGAACTCAAGACCTCTTAGTTGGAAGCCTAAGCTCTCAACGAACAGGTCAAGTTGAGCTGTGTTAGTACCGTTGAGTGACTTCTTCGTTTTAATCATCTTGCATAAATGCAACTGGTTGAAATTCTAATAAGGGAACTAATTTTCTGCAGCAAAGGATGGAGGGACTTTCATAGAATCACAAAATGAAAGGGTTGGACCTGCGAGATCTCAGAAACAGAAGACAACTAAAGCGGAAAGGCGTGCCCTTCAGGAAGCTCAACGTGCTGCAAAATCAGCAGCCAAGGCGGCTGGTAACCTTTTTGTTAATTATTTCAATAACCGGTCACCTTTTTGTTAATTATTTCCTTAACACTGAATATGCTTGCTCTTTTTTGTATTAAATTTGGTGATGTCACTACCAATTGTTGGTCATCCATAGTGTAGTCTCAAATACTGGCTCTATTTCTTAAAACACCTTACAAACTAGTTAATAGTGGACTCTCTAGAGCAGAGAAAAAAGGCCTGTGGCTACATAAATGTGTATTTTTTTTTAAGTTTTGAAAGCAGAAATATCCACTCACATTCTGGTAAGAAATGAAATGTTTACTCTTTGATGAGAAATACATGTTTTTTTACTTACTGATTTCCATCTGTTCTATCAATTTTTTCTTTCTTTATGTGTGTTGCAAACAGTTTCACAATGATTTCAAAACATTCAAATGCTGTTTGATGTTGCCAATTTGCAGCATCGGCTAACCTTAGGCGTGTTGATGCATCCATTCATTTGTTCTTTTCTTATGTGAATGAGATTGTTGTTAGGAAACGCTCGTAGAAAATTAGAAATTTACTTGCTGAAATTTAATTTCAGTAATTGGTAAAAGAAGAAATCGCCAATATTTGGAGGAAAAATTAGAAATTGAGCTTTTTAATTGATATCAGATGAAGAAAAACAATAAGATACAATGGATCTTCTATTGGAGAGGAAAATCCATCTCTCCCAAATCTCTAGACGCCACTAGAGTCCGCTCAAGAACTCAAGAACCCTAATTTCAGTAAAAAATCAGAGATAAGATCTAACCCTAACCTCCAAAACCTACTTAAGCATACAATAATTAAGTAAAATCCCAAAACTACCCTTCCTATTTGAATTTTCCCTCCTAACCCTCCCCTTAAATCCCTCCCTAATTAAACTTGTGGACCCCACAAACCTAGGCGACAAAGGAGGGGCCAGAACCCTTGTTCTGCCTCCTAAACATTTGGACCAATCTTGGTTGGATTGGTCCAGCCAGTCTCGGGACTGGCCTATCAATACTCTCCTCCCAAAGAGCCACATGGTCTTCAATGTGGAAGGATGAAAACTAATGTTTCACCCTCATATGGCTCCCATGTGTCATCATAATCAGGTATATTCTTCCTTTTAACCAACACTTCCTTGGGCTCTCCCTCTCCCTGTTGTACGCCATGAAGCTCTAGTAGTTCCAAAACCATCTCTAGATCCTCTGTTAGCGGCCCTGGTAATTCTAAACTAGCTGCATGATCCCCCATCGCTCTCCTCATCTATGATACGTGGAACACGGGGTATATGGAAGCGGTCGAGGGTAACTTCAAGGGATATGCCACTGCTCCAATTCTCTTCAACACCTCATAAGAGCCAAAGTTTCTCAGGGCAAGCTTTTCATTCCTTTTGTTGGCTACTGTCCGCCGCTTGTAGGGTCACAGCTTTAGGAACACCCTATCCCCAATGACAAATTAGATGTCATTCCTATACTCATCCACCCGCTTCTCCATAATTTGCTAAGCCCTTAACAGATATCTTCTTAGCTCCTCTAGCACCCTATCTTGTTCCTCCAAGTACTGCTCTACTAAAGATACAGGTGTGCGGCCTTGCCTCACATGTATCAAATGTGGAGGGTCTCTCCCGTACAACACCTTAAAAGGGGTCATTTGGGAGGCTGAATGGTATGAAGTGTTGTACCAATATTCTGCCCATGCCAGCCACTTAGCCCATACCCTAGGTGTTTCTAAAGCAAAACATCACAGGTATGTCTCCAAGCTCCGGTTCACTATCTTTGTCTGCCCGTAAGTCGGAGGGTGATAAGCGGTGCTCCTCTTCAATGTTATCCCCTATAGCCTGAATAATGCACTCCAAAAATGATTTAGAAATACTTTATCTCTATAAGATAATATAGACTCTGATATCTCATGTTGCCTAATCACCTCTCTGATAAATGTGATCTCTATTGTTACTGCCGTGTAATAAAATTGTAGGGGAATGAAGTGAGCATAATTGCTCAATCTGTCAACCACCAGAATCATCGTAAACCCTTTCAATCGTGGTAGCTCATCAATAAAGTCAATTGTGACCTCCTCCCACACCCTGTCAGGTATAGCTAGGGGTTGGAGTAACCCCCCAGGAGCCATGGCCATGTACTTATTCCTATGGTACACCTCACATCTAGCCACCATTTCTTCCATATCCTTGTGCATTCCCTCCAATATAGCTCTGCTTCCAATCTCATGTATGTCTTTTGTGCACCTGAGTGACTTTCAACAACGCTCTCTCATGGAACTCTTGCAGTAATTATGGGATATGAACTGAGGTCCTAGGCATCTCAATCCTTCCCTGGTACAATAGTCTTTCCCCCTCCAAAGATTAACTTAGGTGACTAGTCTCATCCTTCAGAACATCTGCTTTAATTTTTCCCAACTCCTCATCATGCATACTCTCCTCTTTGATGGTCCCCATTCTAGCATCAGTGGTATCGACATAACCAACTCTTGGAGTTCTCTCATGCATTTGGACAAGGCATCCGCTGCTTTGTTCTCTAATCAGGGCCTATAGTGAATCTCAAAATCATAGCCTAATAGCTTTGATAACAATCTCTGATGCTCCTTCGTCATCATCCTCTCTTCCAAAAGGAACTTCAAAGTCCTTTGATCCGTCTTGACAATGAAATGTCGTCCGAACAAGCATGATCATCACTTTTGAATGGCTAACACAATATTCATTAATTCCATCTCATAGATTGACTTCAACCTAGCTCTGAGTGTCAACACTTGGCTGAAGTAAGCTATGGGTTTGTGATTTAGCATGAGCACGGGCCCCAACCCATATCCTGATGCATCCGCCTCAACCATAAAGATCTGACTTAAATCTGGTAGAGTTAAAATCGGTACTGTAGTCATGACCTTTTTCAGTCTCTTAAAGGCCTTACCTAATCAAATATTTAAATTCTTCTCAAATAAGTTCACAAATCATTCCTATGACTTTTTCATTACGATTCCCATTCCTATGATACTTCATTATGCTCTGATACCTCTCTTGTCACGACCCGACCCGATAAGCTCGAATTAATGAGGCGGAAACAAACGGTTGGATGGTAAATTAAATTTTCAATTCATCTAAAACTATCTCAATAAACTTTGAAAGAGCCACTAAAACTTTAAATGAGAACATAAATTTATACAAAATCATTCAATTACCTTTCATTCCGTGTCTCATGTCTACAATATATATTTCCACCTCTTCTACTCATTTTGTTTATATTAAACTTACCTGAAAGAAAAATTAGAGCAACTAACAGTAAGCTACAACTCAGTGAGTAAAACATGTTTCTAAATTACAATAACTCAAGGCAATAAAAACAATATGCAAAATCTTCTTTTTCTTTATTCGTTTCATATCATAAAATAATTACACTTAATTATCATTTTATTTGAGACTTTTTCAAATAAAGCAAAACAAACTCAAACAAGATCCAACCTGTGTGTTGTGCTAAAGAAAGAAAAGTCAAATACTGCAACTAAAACAAGAAAAGGAAAAGTACTGAAGCAAAAAAGCAAAAGGGTTGGATAGAAACTAAGCAGCTGCTTTCAAATTTACCCTAATGGGTAACTTCTAAATGAAGTAGTAAATCCTAATCTAATTGACCCGTTAGGGGAACTTCTAAGTGAAGTAAGAAACCCTTAAACTAAACCCACAGACAACTTTCATTGGAAACAGTAAGACCTATTTTAACTAATTTGTTAGGGAAGTTTTTAAGTGAAGTGGAAAAACCCTAAATCAAACCAGGCAACTTCCAATAGAAACAATAAGACCTACTTAAATTAAGTTGTTGAGGGAGCTTCTAAGTAAAACAACTATTCTAAAATTAAAATCTACAAGCATCTTCCAATGGAAGCCGTAAGACTTACTGTTCAGGCAACTTCCAATGGAAACAATAAGACCTACTATTTGAGAAACTTCTAACTGAAGTGGTAAGCCTCGACCTAAATCAAATATATGTGCAACTTCTAAGTGAAGCCGTAAGCCCCCAACCTAAATCAAATATATGGGCAATTTCTAAGTTAAGCCATAAGCCCCATCCTAAACTACTATTAGGCAAATTCTAAGTGAAGTCGTAAGCCCCAACTTAAATTAAATATATGGGCAACTCTTAAGCAGAGTCGTAAGCCCCAAACTAAACTAAATCTTCGGGCAACTCTTATGTGGAGGTGTAAGCCTCTTCTTAATCCAAACCATGGTTTAAAATTGCGCAATATGAGGCTCGCCTTGAGGCCCGCCTTTGCGCAATTCCAGTAAAAAATGCCTCGATGCTTACGCCTCGAGTTTTTTTTATGAGGCTTACGCCTCAACTTGGTTGAGGCCCGCCTCGCCTCACTGGCATGAGGCTTACGCCTCACACTATATATATTAAAACTTACATAAATCTTGAAGTAAATGCCCGACATTGAACTCTATAGGAGAGGAGGAAGGGGAGAGAACAGTTCATCATAATGATGATTCAAATGAAGAACCCCTTAGTGATGACAATGCTGATGACTTGTGAGTTTTTATGTGATATGTCATTGCTATTTATTTTTTGAAATTGGAATTATATGTTAATAAAAAGAATACTAGAATTTGGGAAATATAGAATTTTGAGTTGAACTATATTTCATGTTGTTGTCTTATTATTGGGATATTTTGATTTCACTTCATATCTTATGCTTTTTTATGTTTTATATTATTCACTCATTAGTATATAAAAAATTTATTATTTTATGTTTACGTAATCTTTTGATTTTGAAGCTTACGCCTCAATACCCGAATACGCAATTTTAAACATTGATCCAAACTACTGGGAAACTCCTAAAAGGAGCCATAAACTCCAAACTAAATAAACTAACGGGCATTCTAATAGATATAGACCCCAAAACTAAATCAAATATCTAACCACTTTAGTTTACTCCAGATTTTTGAGAGGAGGCAACTCATGACTGCTAATCAGATTCCCTAGATGTTACAATCAATGATACATTAACATTGATA